TCATCTACTTAAATTTTAGTGGGAAGAAAAGATTTGTGAAATGAGGAATATAATCAGGATGCAGAAGGTTGGAATAAGGAAGAATGAGTAGGAGATAACTTTTTCCATAATGGAAAAAGAGGTCTATATGATTCCTGCCTTGGGCAGGGAGTTGGATTATTCGGGATGGTTTCTGGTCAATCCTCATTGTTCTGATTATAGATGGAAAGAGGATATTGCAGAGAAACTAGGCAGAGATTTTCTCGTAGCTCAGATTCTCCACCTGGCACTCCTCAGATTTGTACCCAAGAATCCTGGGAGTTAACAGCCCAAGTACAACAGAAAAGCGTTTACTTGAGAGACTACACTAGAACTTGCAGTCACCAAGTGATTGGAAGTGATTGAGGATGACAACGAAAATCTGTACCCAGGTGATCATTAATTTATAGAGGTTTTTTTTGGTTCCACCTGATCCGAGGGTGATAATAACCAGTTCGGAGATGATTTTAGAAGAGAGGTAAATATGTCTATTTGTGGGGGTGGGGGGTGGTGGAAGAAAATTTATGTGGCGTTTCTCAAATGCTGCAACTTAAGAAATGTGGACTTCAATTCCCAGAATACCCTAGCCAGCATTCTGGCTGGGGTATTCTGGGAGCTGAAGTCCAAATGTTTTAAAGTTGCAGTTTGAGAAATACTGGTCTACAGTATCTATTCAAGATGGCATCCCACTCACTATCAGTTGCTGAAGAACAATAGAAGAGAGCAGTTGATTTCCTGCTAAGTTTAGAAGTCTCCTCCACAGTTAGCTTGGGGGTGGTCCAGATTGTCATTTCCTTACACACTACTTTATGTCTGTTCTTGTGTCTGAAATAGGGGGAAATAAAAAATTTCAATCCTTTGGTTATTTTCTAGGTTGTCTCCTTATCATCGCCTAAGGAAACTAATTAAACAAGAGAGCTACCTTACTTGGCCTGAAGATCCTGAGGATGAACATGTATTTTGGACCAAATTGTGTGGGGCCTTATGCTTTGAGAGACAAGAAAATGTCGCACTGTTCACTGTAACTGAGTAACTAAAACCAGGAAGAACATGGCTATGATTATACACTGCTCAAAAAAATAAAGGGAACACTTAAACAACACAATGTAACTCCAAGTCAGTCACACTTCTGTGAAATCAAACTGTCCACTTAGGTAACGACACTGATTGACAATCAATTTCACAAGCTGTTGCACAAATGGAATAGACAACAGGTGGAAAGCAGAGGCAGTTAGCAAGATATCCCCAATAAAGGAGTGGTTCTGCAGGTGGTGACCACAGACCACTTCTCAGTTCTTATGCTTTCTGACTGATGGTTTGGTCACTTTTGAATGTCGGCGGTGCTTTCACTCTAGTGGTAGCATGAGACGGAGTCTACAGCCCACACAAGTTCCTCAGGTAGTACAGCTCATCCAGGATGGCACATCAATGTGAGCTGTGGCAAGAAGGTTTGCTGTGTCTGTCAGCATAGTGTCCAGAGCATGGAGGCGCTACCAGGAGACAGGCCAGTACATCAGGAGATGTGGAGGAGGCCGTAGGAGGGCAACAACCCAGTATCAGGATCGCTACCTCCGCCTTTGTGCAAGGAGGGACAGGTGGATCACTGCCAGAGCCCTGCAAAATGACCTCCAGAGGGCCACAAATGTGCATGTGGCTGCTCAAACGGTCAGAAACAGACTCCACGAGGGTGGTATGAGGGCCCGACGGCCACAGATGGGGCTTATGCTTACAGCCAACACCGTGCAGGACGTTTGGCATTTGCCAGAGAACACCAAGATTGGCAAATTCGCCACTGGCGCCCTGTGCTCTTCACAGATGAAAGCAGGTCCACACTGAGCACATGACAGACGTGACAGGGTGTGGAGACACCGTGGAGAACATTCTGCTGCCTACAACATCCTCCAGCATGACCGGTTTGGCAGTGGATCAGTAATGGTGTGAGGTGGCATTTCTTTAGGGGGCCACACAGCCCTCCATGTGCTTGCCAGAGGTAGCCTGACTGCCATTAGGTACTGAAATGAGGTCCTCAGACCCCTTGTGAGACCATATGCTGGTGCGGTTGGCCCTGGGTTCCTCCTAATACACAACAATGCTAGACCTCATGTAGCTGGAGTGTGTCAGCAGTTCCTGCAAGATGAAGGCATTGATGCTATGGACTGGCCCGCCCGTTCTCCAGACCTGAATCCAATTGAGCACATCTGGGACATCATGTCTCACTCCATCCATCAACGCCACGTTGCATCACAGACTGTCCAGGAGTTGGGGGATGCTTTAGTTCAGGTGTGGGAGGAGATCCTTCAGGAGACCATCTGCCACCTCATCAGGAGCATGCCCAGGCATTGTAGGGAGGTCATACAGGCACATGGAGGCCACACACACTACTGAGCCTCATTTTGACTTGTTTTAAGGACATTATATCAAAGTTGGATCAGCCTGTAGTGTTTTTTTCCACTTTAATTTTGAGTGTAACTCCAAATCCAGACCTCCATGGGTTGCTAAATTTGATTTCCATTGATAATTTTTGTGTGATTTTGTTGTCAGCACATTCAACTATGTAATGAACAAAGTATTTAATAAGAATATTTCATTCATTCAGATCTAGGATGTCTTATTTTTGTGTTCCCTTTATTTTTTTGAGCAGTGTATTTTAGCATTATTTTTTAAAAATAATTTAAAGACAATAACTTGATAGGTAGTGCTGAGGTTGGATGCTGTATTTTCTAAGCCTGGCTGTCTAGAATAAATAATACTTTGTATATACATATATAGGATGATTTGTAAGATGCATAATTATGGTCCCAACTCTGACAAAAAATACATTGAGCGAATAAAATACAAAAGATTACTCTTTTCATGAATAAGAATGGAAGTTTCTTTTTAAAAGTCAGTCAGCAAATTGAGCAGCAGGTGTCCAAAGGAACTCAGAGATATAGACATGAAGTTGTAGTTTTATATAAATAGATATATTTAACATTTATATTTTCAGCAGACAAGATAGTCAGGAACACAGGAGCATCATGAGGTAAATCAAAACAGCATCCAGAACACACAGAAGAAAAAAGGTGGGAAAAAAGGGAACTCCCCTTTACACCCAGAGCAACCAATCATAGTGTAGATTGCCTCATGCACAAGCCAGCACTCTTCAACTAATCAGCTACAACCGTATGTTCTCTGGCCCATTATACACTTTATTGCAGGGGTCCCCAACCACCAGGCTCCGGACTGGTACTGGTCCGTGGATCATTTTCTACTGGGCCGCCGGTTTGCTGGGCGCTGCCATCTTGTTTCGACGAGAAAGTGCTTCCGGGTGAGCTTTTCCGGTTGGAAAGCAGCGTTTGGGTCCTGAAGGAATCCTCGCGCCTTAGTTTCATCGGGTGGGGGGGCGGCTTTGAACGAAGAGCCGTCCCGATGACGGAGGAGATTAAGAAAGCACAAAAAAAGGTACAAAGGAGGAGTTGAAGGTGGCGGGGAGAAGTGGGGGACGGCTGGCTGGCCGGTCGCTCGGCTCGCCTTGCCTTGTCATGCATGCTGATGTCGGTACCGGGCCGCGGATCATTTTGTGATGCCGGTACCGGGCCATGGCACAAAAAAGGTTGGGGGCCACTGCTTTATTGTACCAGCTACTAAATTAAATATCCTCAAAAGTAAATTTATATTCATAATAATACAATGAGATCATTGTTTGTCACAAATTCAAAATTCTGAACTACTGTTGGATTTTATTAAAAGATTCCACTTTGAATGGCCCGGTAAGCATGAGTTTTTAAAGAGGAATAACTCTTTTATTGTACTTCATGATTCCTATTTCTGGTGTATATTTAATCTTACATATTAAATTGATCCCAAGAGGGTACTTATATGTTAAATCTGGATTAAGTCCCGATTAAGTTAGTGACAATTGAATCACATTACATTCAGTGAAAGCAAATTACCATGATTTAATTTACCCTGCTCTGCTGCAGAGATTTATTTGGGCATAGGTCCCAGAAAGAAGCAATTGGATTCCTAGATATTCTTTCATACTGTTATACTGTTTAGTCATTTCTTTGTAGTGGAAACAAAGATTAAACTAAAGAAACACATATTAAGTGTTGCCCTATTCCAATCTGCATATTTCATTTTCTTCATTATAAATGCCCAATGGCCTAATCTAGATTGGGAGTCTTTTCATTTTAAACTGGGAGGCTGGTTGAAGGATTATATTTTCCATCGTTCATGGATGGGTATCCCAATCCATATTGGACTACCTTGCCCTACAATCAAATAAATAACATTATAAACAAGCCAGCATATGACTCTAATTTACATCTATATTTAGAAAGAATTAAACCCATTGAATTAATAATCTTTCAGCCTTATATTAATTCTAGCATTCAATCATCTATTCTACTAAAGTTTGGAATTGTAGAGGGAAAAATCAAACTATCAATATGGTGAATGAACTGTCTCATTTAGAAGAAATCAGAACTTGGTAGAAGAGTTTCTAAGTCTACATTGCAATGGTCATTAGGATTATTGGCAAGCACAGACTCATCTGTGGGCCAGGTATCCTATTCTCAGACTGCTGAAATATGGATTTTTCCTCGTTTATCAAAAACACTCTAAAAACTCTTCCTTTCAAAGGAAACAAATCATATTGGAAGTGTCCTGAATTTGCTAAGGGACAGTGGAATACATAATGATACATATATCAGTAATTTAGTATTGAGAGTGTAATGTTTATATTTTGGTTCAAAATGCTTTGTGTTTTTCATATAGTTAAAATTATCTGATTAGGCCCTTGAGTGGAAAGATAGGGTCTGTCTGCAGATCTAGCTGCACGTTTATTTTATACAGGTGTGTGTGTGTGTGTGTGTGTGTGTGTGTCTTATCTACTTGACACAATTGTCTTTCCTGTTATTGTGGGAGTTCCACATACTCTAATTCCAGCTGGGAGTGATATACTCTGGGTAAATAACTGTAATTAGAAGAGAAAATGAGGAATAATTTTATAGCTTGGATTTAGCTTATTTCTTCTTGGCTGATACCTTAATTCTTCTGAGTGAAGCTTTAGCTTCTCAGGAGGGGTTATATATAGGCTACCAGGCTAGAAGCCTTAGCAACAGAGAGGAGATGGCAGGCAGTGGTAAAGGCAAAAGCTTTGCTGTAACACTTTAAGCCCATTAATTTCTCAGTCGCCAAGGGAAACGATGCCTTGTTCCTCATCACCAGTGGATTTGGCAAATTAGACAGGAAGGAAAGGCAGAAAAAGAACAAAACCCACCTGACTATAGTGCCTGGATGTCTGCTGGCAGTTTGGCTCTGCTGAGAAGCAAGAAATTGATATTTGGGAAGGAGGAAAAGCTTCAGTTTCTGAGACAATGGAACGAGCCATTGTGGGTATTGAAGATTTGGTAACTTGGTGAACCAAACATGACTTGAAGAGTTTCATCTACAGTATCTTCTCCTCTGTCAAAGCCCTTTGCATATCCTTCTTCATAGAGGCTGAATTTCTTTCTGGTGGAATTTTTTTGGTCATCTAAGAGAAGATCTGGATGATGGACACAGGATTGAAATCTATTGTACAATAGGATTCTTCAAGCTCTAAAGACTTGGCCTTTCTGGAAATTATCATCAACTTCTGTGGCTATCTAATTTATCCTGAATTTGTTAGACCATTTCCATCCCCATTCCTACCCTTTTCCCATCCACCAAACATCCCATCTCTGATGATTGCAATGCACTGGACATTGCTTTGCCTCATCTTTTCCCCACTACGGATAGCTTCTGAACATGGCTTACCCAAATTTATCTGCAGTCCTATGCCATTGGATATCGATAATGGTTGCCAGTCAAATGGCCATCAACGACATGGAGGTGCAGCTAATGGTGCAGGCAATGGCCATAGGGTGGGGACTCTAGAAGAAGCTAAGGAAACCATCCTGCATCTGCGGGAGACAGTGGTGCATCAAAAGGAAATGATCCTTGACCAGAGAGAGACTGTGAGAGAACTGACAGCCAAACTGAGCCGCTGTGAAACCCATTCCCGGAGGCATAGTGAGCACCATGGAAATCATCAGGAAGAGAATCATAACCATAAGCATGGCCATCACGAAGGTGGGCATCGGGACTATCATGATAATAGTCAAAGGGGACATCATGAAGATGCCCACCAGTCTCACCATGAAGATGGCCATAGGGGACACCGTGACACTGGCCATCAAGATCTTCATGAAGGCCACCATGCCCATGAGAATGAGCATCATCAAACTGCACAACCTGGGAACCACGAACCACGGGTCAGGCACAACACACATGATTCTTCTCACAAGGGACCTACATCTGCTCAAGTTAATGCTGTGGAAGATCCACCCAATGAGGCATCTGCTGCAATACATCAGATGGAGAGAATGCTGAAGTCCCTGAAGGAGAGACTGGAATATTTACAGGTATTAGTTTTTAACTTATCCTGCTCAATGCACTTAACCTATCTTCTCAAAACTACCTTTTTTTTAATTACTTGTTTATTATCCAACAATCCTCATCTTCACATTTACAATCTTCATACCATCATTTTTTAATTTGTCCAAAGTGCTGATCAGCGAGCAATTATTGCAAGCATTTTTATTCTTGTTGCATCAGTTTTCATGTATGATCCTCCATTTAATCATTTCTTCTTCCTCGTTCTGTTTTATATGATCAAAGCATACAATTTTAAGGAATGCTGTTACCTTCCCTTTAAAAACTAAATACCTCCCCACACACTCAGATTTCTACCAGAATTAACTTCTCACAACAAATCATCTTCTTCTTCTTCTTCTTCTTCTTCTTCTTCTTCTTCTTCTTCTTC